ATTATTCCCTCAGCAACCCCGCGCTTCGGATGAAGCGCAGGATTTTGGACGTGGGGGGGGGGGTCAAAATAGCCATTTGGTTCCATTAAGTATTGACCCAAGTGACGCAGTCTTAAATAAGCTAAAGCCTCACATTCACACAGGACGTGTGTGGCTGTTCCATTTTCCGTCTGACACCTCTCACAAGTGGGACTATCACTTAGTCCCAGTTTGAACAGGTGTCCTTTGAGGTAACTGTCCTGTAAGTAGTCCTACCACCCATCGTAGCTGGTTCCTGTTTAGCTTCAACAGTTAACAGGTGGCATATATTAAAATTGAGACCAGAAGGAATAATGGATTTCTTGAAATGCACCACAGAATTTTGGAGTTTTGATATTACCCTCAGGGATTCCGCGTTGTCTCTTTCCTTCACGATTTCCTACCAACCCCTTCTACACGCTCTCCTGCAACAAGTGTACCTCGGCCGTGTCGACTTGCTTATTCTCATTACATCTGGCTAGTATACTAGTTCTGAAGGCAGCCATTTACTCCTAGGTATTGTGCTTGGTTCTTTATCCGTGGCCGTTTAACGACGCTGTCGATAACACGGAGTACGTGGCGTCGAACGCGTGTGGTAGTGAATAATGAATTATAAAGTATGCGGAAACAAGCGGTCATGACCCATAATGAGGCACTATTTCGGCATTCACCTAAAACAATATTTCTCGAACTGTGATCCGCGGATCACTGATGAGCTGTGGTGGTCCATTAGGTGGTCCACAGTGTTACAGTAAACCCTCGTTAATCCGAAATAATTTGCGGGAGGTCATTCGAATTAAGCGATAACCCGGATTAGTGAAGCAAAAGTTAACCCTCAAAAAAAAAAAAACTTAGGACAAATAAATGAAAATTTTAATTATATATGCAGGGTCGATGAAAAAATAAAAAATATCAATATTGCGTCTTTGTTTAAAAATGATAAAAATACAATATATTTTTCCATCGATAGAAGAATCAGAAGTGGTACTTGGGTTTGAACATAATAAGGGAGGTTTAAAAAAACTGTCGAATTTTTATCTGAATTGACAAATGACTCATCTGCAATCCTAAATGCCATATGTTTTTAAAGTATGTACTATACTGTGAACAACATTTTTCACATTTTGATCCAGATTATCCAACACCTGGATTAACTGTAACCGGATTAGCAAGGATTTTCTGTGTATAGTCCATAGAGTATTGTGACATTGCAACTGAAACGAGGAATAATAGAACCAGAAGAAACTGTCCGCTGCTAGGCAACAGCTCAATAAGAAAATGTTGCTGCAACGGATGGGCGCGCAGCAATACAACAACTGTTAGAAGCGGTGACTTGGTCCAATATATTCAATTATCGATCCAAACCCCGCGCCTAGTCATTAATACGTTACGGTATCACATGACATATAATAAATAGAGTAATTTAAATAAGAAATATGACGAACTGTTGTTTAAGAAATTTACTTTAAACCGGTAGACAGAAAAAAGTGGTTTGGCAACATTAACTGTAATTACGCTCCCATTCGCAGAGAAAAAGACAACTACATGCTCTTTGCGGCTAAGGTGAATGTTGCGATAGCAGCGTGGTCCGCGCGTGCGCCGACCGCCCATGCAGTAATCCGCAGCTGTCATAGAGAAACACTGTTCTAGAAGACCTAAGGAATATCGTGAAAAATCTCGGAACAGTATTCAGCAGTCCGAGCTTCCAGGGCATGCCGAAAATATGAAATATGGGGTGCTACTAGTTCGACCGCTACGTGTAACGACGTATAGACCCAAGGTTGCCTGACCTCGGCACTAGTTGGAGGTGAGTGGCCAGCTTCACGCCCCGGCCAATTTACACCCGTTACTCATTGAATAGGAGGTCGGGTGGACCCCAGAGCCGGTCTGGACGAGATCGAGAAGTGAATATTCTTGACCCTACCTCGACTCGAACTCCGACCCCTCGGTCGTCCAGCCCATAGCCAGTCGCTATACCGTCTGCGCTATCCTGGCTCTTGCATTTCTATACATCATGGAATATGTACTTTTCTTTGGATTGTTAATGTCACACTACAAAGAAATCATATAAATTTTGTTGAAGCCTCACAGATTATTTGAAAGGACGAATCGTTTATGGGAATGCAGTACCAAAATGGAGCTTGGCACAACCTATCATCCCTGACGTAACAGGACAGTCACGAAGGCTTATTAAAGCACAGTTTAAATATCACACTTTTTTTTATTTATTGCTAGTGGGGTGGGACTAAGTCCCTTGTACTGCGGCCACTTCTGGCTACTGTACTAGCCCAAGATGATAGGTGAGGATGATTGTGGAGCAATTGGTGGAATGAAGATTGGCAGAGGAAACCGAAATACTCAGAGAAAACCTGCCCCAGCGCCACTTTGTCCACCACAAATCCCACTTGACCAGGGCCGGGGTCGAACCCGGGCCGCCGCGGTGGGAAGAAATATCACACTTAATGTATACTGGAGCGAACGAACTCCGACTAGGAGCTCATAGTGACTTTATCAGTAGAAGCCTTTAGGTTCCATAGCAGTGAATTATAGAAATTGCCTTAAGCGAGTTGGAAAATTCAACATAAGCCTCAATATAGACCTACCCTCGGTTGCACTTCTTGGAATATTTGTCGTTCACCTTGTGTAGACCTACAGTCACATACATGATCAGTTATGTAACACCCATTAACATTACGAAAAATATCCATAGCTTCACAGAAAGAATTAATCCATAATCCTATGTTTTAGAAAAAATCAAGCAAACGGAGCATAAGGCAATCGTTAATTCATATACCATATACAAACATGGCTTCGGTGAATGTAAGGCAGACTGCTTACCACGCGTTAAAAAAAAGTCAGAAATGGTGCTTGCGTTGGAGCTAATGATTGTGTCAAGCAGACTAAATACTGGAAGTGAGGAGTTTCATTGCATGCATAGACTTACGTAAGATGATCTACTTCAGCAGCGGCCAATTGGCACATCCAGAAAACAACCAGCCAATAGGAACAGCTCACATTACTTATTGCCGAAACTGGCGGTCTGAAAATTGTTTTATATCTTCGAACGGTATCAATTTAATGATTTATTTATTGAGGTTACATTCACAAAGAGGTTAATTGCAGTAATACACGTACTAGTCAGCAATTCTTTCAGAATTCTTTAACTTTCAGATGTCTCTATAAAAGCGAAACTTATGTTTCATTCTATGGGAAAATAGACTGAAAATATCGGAGAGCAGATTAGAATATTTTGACCTAACTGAGATTAAGTAAAAGGATACAAAAACTGCGTAAGGAGTTTCATATTTTGTACTCTTTTGCCAAATACGAGCCTAAATGGATAATCAAATAAGATTGGATCAGATTTGTAGGACAAAGAGTACAAGTGGATAAAAGATAAAGTTGTCCATATGCTTAACTAATTTAGCACTACGCCATGAAGGCGTATGGGAGAGTGGATGTATAGATCCACATTTTCTTGACCTCGGCACTAGTTGGAGGAGAGTGGTCAGCTTCACGCCCCGTCCGCTTTACCACCGAGGAAAGTCCCCCCTAGTACCCATTGGATAGGAGGCTGGTGGGCCCCAGAGCCGGTCTGGACGACGTGGAGAAGAGAAAATTCTTGACTCTACCGGGATTCGAACTCCGAACTTCGGTCGGCCAGCCTGTAGCCAGTCGCTATACCGACTATGCTATCCCGGCTCCTGTGCATAAGTCGGGCACATGTATATATATAATCAGAAAATCTGAACCGAATAGACCATTTGGAATACCTAACACGGATTGGAAGGGAGTATTCAAATGAATGTTAAATAAATAGGGTCTGAGAGAGCGGGCACTTCACGCATCTTGTTCAGTATGTAGGAACCAGTGGCGTTGTACTGTGAACTCAGTGGCGTGGTATCGTGAACTCCACACGAGGCTGAAAGAATCCCATACTCGCAAGGAGGGCTCTGCTCCATGGATTTGCAATATATGGATCTTACTATCAGATGTGTGATGGCCGAAATACAAGAATATTTCTTTTTATTGCTAGTGGGGTGGGACTAGGTCGCTTGTACTGCGGCCACTTCTGGCCTATTGTACCAGCCCCAGATGATAGGTGAGGGTGATTGTGGAGCAATTGGTGGAATGAAGACTGGCAAGGGAAACCGAAGTACTCGGAGAAAAACCGACATCAGCGCCACTTTGTCCACCACAAATCCCACTTGACCAGACCCGGGATCGAACCCGGTCCGCCGCGGTGGGAACCAGTGACTAATCGCTTGAACTGTGGCGCGGCCACATAAATACAAGAGTAAGTCCCAATTATCAATGTAGGCATGCGGTGACGCTTCTGATATATATTCGGGAAGTTCCCGTTTCGAATCTGGGCTGGGACACAGATTATCTTAGATTTATCACGGGTTTTCTTAGTCTTACCAGACAAATGCCATATTGTCACCTTAAATAAAACCACGATCCCTTCCGTCTACACCTTTTCAATTCATTATTCACTTTCATCCACCAATGTGACGCTATGTAGTGTAAATTACTGACAGCGTCGTTAAAAAATCTTTATAAAAAAGAAACAAATGAATAATGGGAAGTCCGTGACATCTGTAGGCTCTAATCATAACTGAAGTTGAAGCGCCTTTAAACCAACTTTTATAAAATTATTACCTACCTAAAAATTATTTGGTTAAACTTTATACTGTTTGCTTTTCGGGTAGAACCCAATTTCGGCGTTAATAACTCCTTTTATGGTCTTAAGTACTAAATATTTTGTAAACAGGAAACGATAAATACTTCCTCCTTCCTTTCGTGTTTTTCGTTTCCGCTTTCGTTTAAGGTCTATACTGTTTTGTTTGACTAAACTTTCACACCCACAAATCTAACAAGATTTGTAGCCATGTATTCTTACTCATATATCACAATGGGGAAGTGTAAATGAAGGTCCATATTAAACTACGAGTAAGGTAAAGTACATAAACTCCTCTGACCAGTCTATGTGCTTTCTCCACGTCGAACCTCCTCGCCCTGAGAAATCTGATAAGAAATGAGTCGTCCGTCCTGTGCGGCACCACTTCACCTCGTTCTGCAAACACAAGGTCAAAAAAAAGTGTATTGTCACAACTGACAACAGGTGATACGGCGATATTTAACATGGAGTACGCCTGTTTTCCATAAACATTCTTTACTCTTTTTATACCTCAATGACCTTCCTATATTTATTGTTGGAATAATACTTGTACATGTAGAGTGTAAAAAGTGCACTTCCTGTTCGTATCACCAGGGCCTAAAATTCAGTATGTAATGTCACTCTGGCTTGGGTCTTATACCAATTATCTGAAACAGAATTAACTCTATACTGTCTGACAAAGTACTAAATGTACGTAGGTCGTACTGAAAGTCATGAGTAACAATTTTTTGTAAAGTAACATGCTTTATTATTGACAACCAAATACACCACCTCAATCTACAGAGCTTTCTTTATTTTTCCACATAATCGCCACTTCTTTGTACACATCTCCCAGCGTTCTGGGAGTTTGAAAATCCCCTTCTATAAAATTCCGTTCCAGCCATCTGAAGACACTGACGCATTGCTTTCTGAATTCAGCGTGCTTATGGAAGTGTGTGCATGGGTGCGAGCAGTGTTCGAAGATGGGTGAAACATTTTAAAGATGGGAACACCAGCATCGAAGATGAGCCTCGGAGCGGTCGTCCTCGAACAGCCTCAACTGAACGCAACAAGGAAAGAGTGGATGAGATCACTGAAGATGACAGGCGTGTGACTGTGGACACAATAGCCCGAAAACTTGGAATAGGGCCCAGTGCAGTAGAGGAGATGATTGAAAGCTTGGGCTATAGGAAAGTTTGTGCTCGTTGGGTCCCGCGGTTATTGACCGAAGACCACAAAGGTCAGCGAAAAGCCATCACTTCATTACCCCTCCTATAGCCCTGATCTGGCACCCTCCGACTACCATCTTTTCGGATTTGTGAAGAATCAGCTGCGTGGACACCGTTTTGAGACAAGGGACGCAGTTCAGAAAGCAGTGCGTCAGTGTCTTCGGATGGCTGGAACGGAATTTTACAGAAGGGGAATTTTCAAACTCCCAGAACGCTGGGAGAAATGTGTAGAAAGAAGTGACGATTATGTGGAAAAATAAAGAAAGGTCTATAGATTGAGGTGGTGTATTTGGTTTGTCAATAACAAAGCATGTTACTTTACAAAATATTGTTGCTCATGACTTTCAGTACGACCCTCGTAGATGGTAGCTTCACCTACCAAATGTATGAGCAGCCCCCGCTGGTCAACTCTTCGCCATCATACGCCTATAAGAACTCTTTATCAGATAGCGCTTCAGGTATCATGTTTAATTAATATTCTGCTTATTATTTAGCCTTAATTTAAATATCAACATTCATAATATTGTGATGTGTATACCCATTGCTAGGCAAGGACTCGGTAAACACATTCCAGCGTAAGCGTATACGTTCAATAATAGAACGTCCATTGCTAGGCAACGGACAAGTCAAGACGCCTCCTTAACAATAGTGGCTGTGTTTTCTGCGTGGTCTGTGCAAAGTGGTTATAAAGAAGTGTTCAGCAATATAGAACAGTAGTAGGAAGTGAAGGTTCGAGCTTCGAGACGCCGGCCTGCTCGGATATGAGCGTGGGGGCAGAGGAATTGGCGTCGAGTCTTCGAAATTGGCAGTTACAGAATAATGGCAAGAAAGGAATTAGACTGTGAAAAGGAGACTTCATGTGTAATTTGAAATGATAATGAGACTTATAAATCCGTTGCCAGGATAAGAGTAGTGAAGACTGAGAACCCTAGTGTGTAGATCAGCGAGGGCGCTGTAAGTACCTGTAATCCCAAGTTGTGTTGTGTGAGGTGTCAATAATTAAATTGTCCTGTCCAAAAATCGCCTACAGTCACTAAAACATGTGACAATATAGAATTCTTTATTCCGTCACAACACAACAATACAATGGTCAAGGCTAAGATTAGTTCAGCTACATGTTTCGGCTATTAAAGCCATCATCAGGCAAACACATGATTACATATGACAATATGACAATATGCTTGTAACTGACTACGGTAACAACAAACGGCAGTGCGCAGCACCTACCAAAGCACAAAGACGTACACGCACCTGTTTGCATATGCATTTGGAACACTTCAGTTCGTACACAGACTTCGGATACAGTTTCCGGAAAGCTGAGTTCTCAGAGCGATAACGTACAGTATAAGGTATAAAAATGTACTATTATGCACCTTCATACAGATAGTCAGAAATGGATCATATTAAGACTTAAATTTGTACGAAATATTATAAAATCGTAATGAGATTCACGCACCGAGATAAGAGATATACATATAAAGTTTTGGCAGAAGAAATCTGAGAGAAAGAGACTCTGAAAGACGTAGGCGTAGACAGGCGAATCATATAACAATTTATCTTAAAGAAATTGGATGGGAGGGCATGGACTGGCTATATTTGGCTGGAAATAAGGCCCAATAACGGGCTTATGTGAAGACGGATTCTACAAGACTTTAAGAAGTGAAATCTAAACATAAATCATCAATTTTATGCTATAATATAAAGTCATACTGAGAGCTTCGTATATTCTGGTGATGTGTTTATGACATATACCATATTCAGATATACGTATAAATCATAAACTTGTATGTGAGAACATGATGTGAATTGTTTAATAAAGCCGTTTGTTCGGGTGACGTTGATTGATAATAAGAAGTTCTAAGAAAAATTATTCGCCATTGTTTCCATGACGCGACAAGGACCGCATAGAAAATGAAGCTTCCAAGAATTCTTCTGTTGTTTCATGTGTGTTAGTTGCCGCCGTTATTCTTTTACAGAACCGTAGCATAACAACGATAGAGGGATACACATACAGACAGACTAATGGGAGGGACTTATGATACATACCAAATTTCATATAGTTTGGTTCAGCTACTCTAAACTTATATAGGGTGGGACACACAGATAGCAATGGTGATTGCATAAGCCTACATTTATTTATTCTAAATAGGGAAATAGATTAAAAGCCTTTGGTTGTGTACACCTGATGATGGTCTATCTTGGCCGGAACTTGTCGTGGATTGATTAATAAAAACATCTGTTTGCATAACAGCAACCCCTCCATTTCAGTTGCATTCTAAACCTTGATGCACTACAGATACGAAACGTTCCATAACGATTCCTGTAGCTACTCACTGACAGTATTTAAGAGTACTAACCGTAAATCACGTTCCTCAGCTCTTGCACAAGATTCAACCTTGTGTCTGGCAATTCACCGAGATTTCGTCTTGCGAAATCCTTCAGTTCATCTGATGGTTCTCCCAGATCAAGTTCTGCAGCCACATCTTCCAAGTTGTCTTCCAATTCATCCTTCTGAGAGGACGTTTCGCTGATGTCATCATCATCATCTTCGTACCCTCCAAAAAACATTCTGGAATTCAAGATGAGAGTTAATGTACATGTTGTATCACATGTTCTGAAGTAATTTAAAAGCACCAATTGAACTGCAAGACCTTGGCGTAGATATAATGACAGTACTGAAATGGATCTTCGGGAAGTACATTGTGAGGATGATGACTGAATGTAATAAAAATTGGATTCCATGAAAGACAGGCTAGCTGGGCGATTATCCGCCTTGCCGTATATATACGTGGTAAAGTACTGCCAGGTGAGCGAGGGAAGGTGTGTTGCGTTGGCGTGCTTTCCTCTTTCAAGAATCACAGCGGCCTCCCACCTCTGGATGGTTCTAGAATTAACGAGACCAGGGTCGGCCGAGAACCTGCGAGACGATTCGAGAATGACTTCGCCTGAGTAGAAATGTGGATTCCGATATCTGAGTCAGTCACAGGAAAGTGGCAACTCATTTGAGTCTCGGTCTAACCAAATATTCGTGTGTGATGACGCAGTGAGTACAGCGCAGTTGCAACAAAAACACTTATGAAAAGGACAGTGCAGTGGCGTACAGCGAAATATCAGTGAACGAGAATAAACTGACGTCAAGATCGTAAGTTTGTACTGAAGACAGGTGCTCCAAAACACGGTGAACTTTACAATCACTGATTCTTAAACGGTTATCAGCGGTTTTCTGGGGTGGTTCAACAAAATTATCCAACTGTTCTCCCCTTAATATGGGACAGAACCTTCTTCTGAAACGTCGGTAACGACCTACCAGACTGCACGGCATTATATCCTGAAAGCCAGTATTCGTATATTGTGTCGCTCAAGTACGTTCAAAAAGAAGCGTATGTAGAACGGCGGACAAGATGATCATTTTTTTTTCCTTGCCACTACAGCCCCAGCGGGCCTGGGCCTACCTCCATGAACTTCTCCGTTCACTTCGGTTTTTCTAGATCTTACACATTCGGTAGGACTCCTTGGGCGGGTGATCAGCTCGTCGCAAGTCGACACAAACACAGAAAAACGTACACAAACATCGATGCCCTGACTAGGATTCGAACCCACGATCCGGTTTCCAAGCGAGCGAAGACAATATATGCCTTAGACCGCTCGGCTACCGTGACCGGCAGATAATCATTTTACGACAATTTATTTGACTTCCTTTAATAACGTGAAGAGTATCACAACTATTGTGTTTCTGGACATTATCCATTGTCCTGTTTAATTTAAAACTTCGTCATGTTTCTCTTTAAAACATAACGTTTCGGAGACTAGATTCTTTCTCCGTCTTTAAGTGGGACCTACTCGGTTGGGCCCTATCGATAGAGCTAGTCCCTATCTCCTGACACCAGTTCCAACACAAGTTAGTGTATACAAACCAACCACAGCACAAACCGCCTGCGAGAGCTAATACAGTCAAGAATTAAAAAACTCCACACTTATGAGGCCTAGCATCAGAATACTATCAGAACATATATCATCACTAGAGAGATAAATTCTCTGCATGGTACCAACATAAAAAGCACAGTTTTCCCACTTCATCTACACTGGACGGAGTTGTGCTTTTTTTTTTTTTTTTTTCTTCTTCTGCGATAATGGAAGTGCAGATAGGAGAGACGTTCAAGCATAATAAAAGAAACACAGTCGCTATATGCTGTACCTCTGAACTATTAGGAAAGAGACATCCTTTCAGAATAACTCTGAACTAAACGAATGAAAATATTGCATTATGCAAATAACTGTCTGAGACGCAATGCCTCTTAATCATTCAGGCCTTGAACGCACAATTCAGAGAGTCAAGGAAATATTTATTTCCAGTAGGATCATAGGCTAATTCTAAGGCTCTGCATTTCCTTGCTGCATGCATATGTAGGCCTTGGTCTAAATCAAGGGTCTCCAAACTACGGCCCGCGATGTGATTTTATCCGGCCAGCGAAAGAATTGTGCAGAAATGCAACAATTGAATTAATTTTCCAATAAGTACTGGTAAATGTGATTCCGAGCTTATTGACCTGACATATTATACTGCAGTTCGATGGCATAGCCGTGGAAAGGTTCTTTCGCGCTTCTTTCGGCTCAGCAATGAAATTGATATATTTGTTACCGAGGAAAAACATCACGAACCACTTTTATCAGATACCGAGTGGCTTTGGAAATTAGCATTTTTTGCTGATATGGTGAACCATATGAACCATTTGAATTTAAAGTTGCAGGGTGAAAATAACTTAGTCTGTGATTTATTTGCACTTATCAAGGAATTCAGAGCAAAGTTGATACTTCTGGAAAGGCAAGTGAAAAATTGTAACTTTGTTCATATGCTATACTACGCAGAGTTGCATAAAAAGGGTGAAGCAGAATTTCCTTCCTCGTTTGCAAATTTAGTCATTTTAGATTTGAAAGAAGAATTTCGGAAGCGATTTTCTGACTTGGATTCCAGTCCTCAGGAAATTAGATTGTTTCAAAATCCGTTTGACTGTGATGCTGCAGATGTCCCAAGTCAAATTCAAATGGAAAGTATTGAACTTCAGGAAAATTATCATATTAAAGACAAATACAAGGAAGGAAATTTGATCGAATTTTATAAATTTCTGAACTCTGAGCAATTTCCAAAATTACAGAAATTTTCTTGTAAATTTATCTCCATTTTTGGGACGACATATCTGTGTGAACAAACTTTTCCCCAGATGAAGTACATAAAGTCGAAGTACAGGGCAAATTTATCCGATGAACATTTAAAGTCGCTACTTATGATTAGCGTTTCAAAATTTGAACCTCAATTTAATCAGATTTTAAGAATGCAAAAAGAGTTCCATCATTCATATACCTAGAGTTATTAATTTCTCATTTTATCCGGCCCGTTGAAAGTGCTGAATTACTAATGTGGCCCGCGGTTCGAAAAGTTTTGAGACCCCTGGTCCAAATTAAGCCCGACTGAGGACGTTGGGTTTCAGGGTCTCACAGCAGCTAATGTGGCAACAAAGTGTTTGCCAGGATATAATGTTTTGTAGTACAATAGAAGTCTATTGGACATTCGAAGAAACGCACTGCCTGCATATCCATTGTCGAAGAGTAAACCAAGCAAGGATCTAGCAAAAAATAGGTGGCAAGCAGTAGGTTCTTCCGAAACGTCTGTAGACTTCTACCAGACTACTCGACGTTGCATACCAGCAGCAGTACTCTTCATGGCTGCGAAGTTACAGAATGTACATTTAAGGGAAGCGTTAGGCAGAAGGAAATACAAATGAGAGTAGAGAACGGTCCGTTAAAATCAGCGGTAAACTGAAAATATTAATGCGAGAATCCTATTTGTTACAGACTGATTACAGAGGGTATTTCTTTGTAGAATATATATAAATACAACTCGTAATGGAGTAACTTAGATGAAACAGTAATGATCAGAGCTGTGTTAGAAGAAAGGGCGTTCTGATACGTGCATACAGGTCTGACAATAAAGTTCGCGAACTCGCCACCGTGTTTTTGCCGTGAAAGCAGTGGACAGAAACCTCAGTATGGTCTGATGACGTTGGGATATATGCGTTTCACAGATATCTTGTTGTTGATCTATGGCAGTCTCTTTCTGAGTGGCGTCTGTTATTGTCTGAGTGTTTTGGTGTGCCGTCGCGGGAATGTCGGAGTTTCAAGTAGAAGAGTGCCCGTGAGGGAGCTTTTAGGTAGTAAACAAATAACTGTGCTGGGACACCCTCCATGTTCACCGGATCTAGCCCCCAGTGACGTTCTTCTGTTCCCGAAGATGAAGGAAATACTGAAAGGAAGTCGTTTTAATAACACTGATGACATCAGGAGTAATACGACGGCAGCTCTGAAGGCCATTCCACAGAACCAGTCCCAAAATTGTTTTGAAGGGTTAACTAGTGTAACCGTCCAAACCTTTTAATACTCTTTAATGGACACTATGTTCCACTTTAGTCAGTGGAGCCCATTCTACGATAGGGCCTTTGTGAAGATTCATCCAACGGCACAGTTTCAAGTCACTTCTAACATAGGCCTATTCCTATTACTGTCCTGGTAGGGTCTGTTTTTTTTTACTGGCTCTACAGCCCTTTTAGCCCTGGCCTCTGACTTTCTTCAAGATCATTTTACAGACGGTAGGACTCATTGGATGAGTGATCAGCTCGTCGCAACGCCTCTACCTAAACACAGGACAACACAAACACTGAATAAACACATACACACACCAAACATCCATGCTTTGTGTGGGATTCCAACCCACGATCCCGGCTTCCGAGCGAGCGAAGACTGTACATGCCTTAGACCGCACGGCTACCGTGACCGGCGATAGGGTCAGGCATACGCTGCAAGCGACAGAATTGTTTGGTGGCTGGGCACGATTGAAATTAACAAGTGGCATATACAGTTAGAGTTCTCTCAGCTATGCATTATCCTGCTCATGGAGATGTGAATTAAGCAGCCGAACAGGTCTATTGGCGTCATGTTACCTGCACATACTTATCGAGGGTTCATCTGAGCTATCGTGTGGGTTTCAGATTACAGCTTTCAACACGATTTTACCGACCTGACCTAAATGAACATCTTTTACATGCATGTTTTGAGAGATAGAGAATGAAAAAGAAACCTTCCACAACTTCATCAATTAAGTCGTATTTCATGATAAATGCTATTCATGTTAGGGGCACGCGGTAGCGTATTTGGTTGAAGTTCTATGCTATAAGCGGGATCGAATCCCGATTAGGTGGATTTTTTCAATTTACCTAATCCTTCCAAACGCACTATGTCTCTGGGATCGACTCAGCCTCTAAGAGAAATAAGTACCAGGAATATTCTTGGGAGTAAAGGGCTGGCGGGGCGTAAGGCTGACAACCTTACCGCCATCTATTAGCCGATTTTCTAGAAAATGTTGGAACCTCGACGTCTCACAACCCTATGGGCCTCCAGGGCCTGTTACAGGGATACCTTTACATACTTACTTACTTACTTCCTTACACTTCATATTAAGACCCGGGATAGCTCAAATAGTATAGCGACGCGTTACGGGCTGGACGGCTAGGTTTGATT